GAGGGGTGTGGGTGAGCAAAAGCGAGAGAGAGAGAGAGAGAGAGAGAGAGAGAGAGAGAGAGAGAGAGAGAGAGAGAGAGAGAGACAAAGAGAGAGACAGAGAGAGAGAGAAGAGTGAGACAGGAGGAGGGAGAGGAAGAGAGACAGAGACAGAGAGACAGGGCAAAATGCTAGGGCTGGAGCAGTAGCTGAGTGTGTAGAATGTTTGCCTAGCAAGTACAAAACACTGTTAGATCCCCAATATTGAATAAACTGAGTGTGGTAACACAGGCTTATAATCCCAGCACTCAGGAGTGGGAGCCAGGAGGATCATGAGTTCAAGGTCATCCTTGGTTATATAGTAAGTTGGAGGCCAGCCTGAACTACATGAGTCCCTGCCTCAAATAAAATACACAACACACACACCGGACGTGGTGGCACACGCCTTTAATCCCAGCACTCGGGAGGCAGAGGCAGGCAGATCTCTGTGAGTTCAAGGCCAGCCTGGACTACATCCTGAGTTCCAGGACAGCTGGGGCTACAGGGAGACCCTGTCTTAAAAAGACAAAAAAAAAAAAAAAAAAAAAAAAAAAACCACAACACACACACACACACACACACACACAAATTCAGACTGTCAGCCTCACACTGTTGATTCACCATTTAAGATAGTTATGGGTATTCTTTGTCCATACATGAATCAGAACATCATGCTATCACACACAAATACATAATTGCACGCAAAAGCAGACACACAGTGACAAAAGACAGAGAGAGCCAAGACTCACATGGCCACACATGCAGATGCACACAGCTCACACATGCAGATACAGCTAACGCATGCAGATGCACACAGCTAACACATGCAGATACACAGAGCTCACACAGGGATGCACACAGCTCACACATACAGATGCACACAGTACTCACATACAGATGCACACAGTACTCACATACAGATGCACACAGCTCACACATGCAGATACACACAGCCCACACAAGCAGATACACACAGTGCTCAGTAAAGATGCATACAGTTTACACATACAAATATACACAGCACTCACATACAGATACACACAGCTCACACATGCAGATGACAGCACTTACATACAATGCACACAGCTCACACGTACAGATGCACCCAGCTAACACATGCAGATACACACAGCCCACACATACAGATGCACACAGCTCACATGTGCAGATGCACACAGAGCTTACATACAGATGCACACAGTTCATACATACAAATGCACACAGCACTCACATACAGATGCACACAGCTCACACAAGCAGATGCACACAGTGCACACACAGGTGCACATGGCTCACACATGCAGATGTACACAGCACTCACAAATGCATACAGCTCACACATGCAGATACACACAGTGCTCACATATAGATGCACACACACAGATCACATACAGATGTACACAGCTCACATACAGATACAGACAGCCCACACGTGCAGATACACACAGCACTCACATACAGATATGCACAGCACTCACATACAGATGCACACAGCTCACATATGGGTGCACACAGCTCACACATGCAGATGCACATAGAGCTCACATACAAATGCACACAGCTCACATATGAGGATGCACACAGCTCACACATACAGATGCACCCAGCTAACACATGCAGATACACACAGCCCACACATACAGATGCACACAGCACTCACATACAGATGAACACAGCCCACACAAGCAGATGCACACAGCGTTCACATACAGATGCACACAGCACTTACATACAGATACAGACAGCCCATATATGCAGATACACACTGTTCACATACAGATGCACAGAGCTCACACACATACAGATGTACACAGCTAACACATGCAGATACACACACCTCACACATGCAGATGCACACAGCTCACATACAGATACACACAGCCCACACATGCAAATACACACAGCGCTCACATACAGATGCACACAGCTTACACATACAGATGCACACAGCTCATATACAGATACACACAGCTCACACATGCAGATGCACACAGCTCACATACAGATACACACAGCTCACACATGCAAATACACATAATGCTCACATACAGAGGCACACAGGCCACACATGCATATGCACACATCTCACATACAGATGCACACAGTTCACACAAGCAGATGTACAGAGCATTCACATACAGATGCACACATCTTATACATGCAGCTGCACACACCTCACACATGCAGCTGCACACACCTCACACATGCAGAAGCACACAGCTCACACATGCAGATGCACACAGCTCACATGCAGATGCACACAGCTCACATACAGATGCATATGGCACTCACATACAGATGCACACAACTCTCACATAAGATGCACCCAGCTTGCACATGCAGATGCACACAGCTCACATGCAGATGCACACAGCTCACATGCAGGTGCACATAGCTCACACATGCAGATGCACCCAGCCCACACATGCAGATGCACAGTGCTCACATACAGATGCACACAGCACACATGCAGATGCACACAACCCATGCATGAAGATGCACACAGAGCTTACATACAGATGCACACAGCCCACACATAAGACACACACAGCACTCACATACAGATGCACACAGTTCACACAAGCAGATACACACCACACTCACATACAGATGCACACAGCCCACACATAAGACACACCCAGCACTCACATACAGATACACACAGCACTCACATAGAGATGCACACAGTGCTCACATAGAGATGCACACAGCTCACATACAGATGCACACAGTGCTCACATAGAGATGCACACAGCTCACATACAGATACACACAGCACTCACATACAGATGTACACAGCTTATACATCCAGATGCACACACCTCACACATGCAGATGCACACAGTGCTCACATACAGATGCACACAACTCCCACATAAGATGCACACAGCTCACATAGAGATGCACACAGCTCACACATGCAAATGCATACTGTTCTGACATGCAGATGCACACAGCTCACACATGCAGATGCACACCGTTCTCACAGTATAGCTTTATTTTCATGCAGCTACACATTCGAGACTCATTCACTGTCAGACATTCAAACTCCCACACAGCTACACACTCATCCAGTCACATGCTGGTGCCCGCACCCATTGATGCATACAGGCCCAAGCTCCCTCACACAGTTACCATCTCACACAATCACACACACTCCCACTCCCACACAGACTTCACATGCTTCAGAGACACACAGGTGGGCGGGTCTTCCTGTAGTCAGGCACATTTACAAACCGACAGTACACAGGGATTCACACTCTGAAACGGTGCCCGTTGTCACTCGTGTACGTATGTGTCAGACACTTTCACACACCCACATTGTCACGTAGATGGCCAATCACATAGACATACACTCCCTTCCATCCATAGGAGTGGCTCTAGCCTCCTTCCACTTATAACAAACCTAGAGTCACTCTTGGCTCCCTGTTGCCCCATTTCCCTCCTATCCAGGAAGCCATCCTCTGTCCTCATCGTCCTGTGACAGTCGTCATTATTTTGCAGTGATCCCTGTCCTCTGTCCTTACTGTCTCTCCATTCCCTCAACAAGCTAAGGGCAGAGCTCCTAGCACACAGCAGGTGTTCAGGCTCATTAATACAGTTTTAAGAAAAGCGACCCCCTCCATGCAATGATGACTCCTTGAATATTTCTCCCCCCCAAAAACCCAGAAACTCCCAGTCTCCCTCAATTTCACGACAGTCTCCAAGAAAACTCATTTAAGGACATTCCAGAGCCCTCTGGGAACCTCGGAGACTAATTTGACTTTTCTCTTGGAACCTTGAGAAAATGCCCTAGCCACCCTCCCCCACTTGAAGGACCGAGTCCCTTGATGGGCACTGTGCAGTGTGCGCTTGCGCACCTCATATAGGCGGCCTTATACTGTTGCTGTGGAAACGGCCGGCTAAGCACACAAGGATAGGACGTGGAGACCCTGGACCCAAAGCGCATGCGCTTTCCATCCAGGGCAAAGGAGGCGCGCCTCCTGCCCATCCTGGATGGTGACTGGCTCCTCCTTTTTATGGGCTCCACCCCGAATTCTGGGCCCTCATTCCCGCCCTTCTACCGGTCCCCAGAGGCCCTACCCGGGTGCATTTAGGACAAGAACAGATGGTGGCCCAGACGGTGTATGGGGAGGGTCGCACCGGGTTCTGGGGCCCTCAGGGGAAGGACTCACCTTCGGGAGGAGGCAAATGAGAAGTGGGCTGGGGTGTTGGGAGAGAAGTTGCGGGGGCTGTCCAGGGGACTGCTACCTGTGGAAGAAAGGAGGGCTTTAGGCCTGTAGGGCTCTCCTGATCCTCAAAGTGGGTTGCAAAGGTTGCTCCGCTAATGTCGACCCGGGCATGTCTGGTGGACTATGCCCCTTTAGTTGTCGCCCCATCTCTCTAAACAGTTTCGATCTCCAGTCACCCAAATCACCTCCACGCCTACTCGGTCACCTCTGGGATGGCCCCGCCCTTCCGCCACGGCTCCTCCTTCCAGAGCTACAAAAGTCTGAGCTACAGCTCTGTAAACCGGCCATTCTCCCTCCAGACTAGCCACGCCCACACAAGAATGGCCTCGCCCTACTGTGGCCCCGCCTCCTGTCGTCTTAGCTAGTCCACATCCACCCGGACTGCATCATGGTCTCACCTAAGTGGCCTGGCAATGGGGAGTGGGGCCGCGGCAGCGTTGGCGAAGTGCTTGTCAGGATGAGGCTTTTCCGGTTACTAGTGCGGCAGCTGCCGGGGAAGAAGCGGCGGATGTCAGGAAAGGCCGCATCCGTTTGAGTCCCAGGGAGCCTATGAACCTCAGGTCCTCACTTCTTTCCCATCCAAGTGTGTTTGGAGGTGCCCCAGGAAGGCGGGCTGGATGAGGAGGCAGTGGAAGGGAGGAGACGAACCTGCAACCAGTGTGTGACACTCCTAGGGTGGTGTGCATCTGTGTAGCTCTGTGAGCTCTGTGTCAGCCTGATAGTCCCAGTGACACCACTGGGGATCCTGAATATATGCTCTTGTATCTGCCCTTAACACTCACGATGTGTGTCCATACATTATGCCTCTGTGGTGTGTGATGCAGTGTGAATGCAGCTTGTACATGCTATATGACTTTTGATGCAGGTGTACAGGCTTCTGAGTGTGCAAGATGCTGGCTGTGTGTGAGAGACAGTCACCATGTGTGTTCATTTACTGTGTGTGAGTTTAGCATCCTGTGACACCGGGCACATTTAAGCATATAACCATGTACTACATGGAGTTTTTGTGTGTGATAAGATGTGATCCTGTGTGTCCCTTTCTCTGCAGGAGTCCCCGTGTCTGTTTATTTTCCTGTCAGTGTGGCACAGTAAGTGATAAAATACCTCATGCTGTGACATTCCTAGGTGCATGGTGCTGTGCCACACACTGTCTGTGCATCTTGGGTGGGAATGTCGTTTTTAGTGAATGGCCAAGAGTGTGGCATTTTACCAGGTGAGCAAGACAGTGTGCTGTGAGTGTGTATGTCTGCGGTGATTCTATTTGTGCATGGCTTTGACCTGTGGCTGCTGCATGTGGTCTGGCTGGCTGTATGGCTGGGTATGGGTGGTACATCTAGGGCTCTGTGTGAGTGACATCATGTCCTGTATAATGCTGTGTGTCACTATTTTCAGTGTGAGGCTGTGTTCGTGTTGGGAGGGGTCTGTGCGATGATAAAAGACCCCCATTTTCTTCTGCGTTTTAGCTGCAGAAGAGGAGCCCCCCAGTCCTTCCAGCCCCTTAGATCTCAGCCGCAGTGACTGAGCATATTAGCATGTCCAGGAGCGCGCTGCATGGGGGTGGGGGAGGCCAGGCTGCGGCTATTGTTCTGAGGGTGCCAAGTTCCCCCATCCTTTTGGTCCCCTACCCCCACCGGGCCACCAGAGCCCACAGTCCCTCAGACAAAGACACTGCAACCCCCCGCCCGACTCGACCCGCTCCTCCAGCTCTTCCCCAGCTCAGGCCTTTCCAGTCCCCCCAGCAGTACGGCTCTCAGCGCCGGCATTCAACCTCATCCCGGCTGGGGAAAGCGCAGCGGGAACACCTCTGGCGCATCTGCACTGGAGCAGCATCCCGGCCCCGCCCTACAGCAGCGGGCGAGGCGGCTTCACAGCCCCAGCAGGGACAGGGTCTAGGGGAGGGGGTCTACCTCTTGGTGCGGCGGAACATACTGCCGCCGGGGAAGGAGGGCATCGAGAAATTGGAAAGCGCGGTCCAGAGAGAGTCAGACATGACCCCGCGGCGGCGACATGGTGGCAGGTGCGGCAGCGGCGGCGGCGGCGGCGGCGCGCAGAACTACCGCGCGGGGAGGAGGCTGGAGCCTCAGCCGCCAGGGGAGGGCGGGGGAGGGGATGGCCCTGCGGCTGTGGCCGGTCGGGAGGGGGCGCTGCAGGATGTTGCCGTGCCAGGCCCCGCCCGCTTGCGCGCTGGGCGCCCCTACATGGGGCAGCAGCCGGGCGCATCTCTCCCCGTAGGCTCACCTGCTGCTTTTCCGGGGCAGGGGTAAATCCTTCTGGAAGGAAAAGGGGCAAAAGGATGGAGGTCAGCAAGAATGTGTGATTATTGCCCACAAAGCTGCACAGCTCACCTGAGGAGCAGGAGTCATACTGATGGTCATCAGCATCCGTCTAGTTATGCCACGCTTGGCCATGCATTCAGGGCCAAGCTCTTGGTTCTTCTCCTGATCCCCAGGGACCAACACAGGTCGAGTGCAGAGAAAGGGGTTGAGATCGATCTGGGGTAAACTGGCATCTCAAAGCATTTTTATGCAAAGAAAGTTGGGTTTTTTTGTTTTGTTTTGTTTTGTTTTTTTATGACAGACAGGGTTTCATTCTAGTTTAGGATCCCTATGTAGCTTAGGCTGGCCATCCAACTGGAGTCCCTGCTGCCTGTCTCTGAAGTGCTGAGATTACAAATGTGAGCCACTATGAAAATCTCTCTCTCTCTCTCTCTCTCTCTCTCTCTCTCTCTCTCTCTCTCTCTTTCCTGTCCTCCCTTCCTTCCAACTCAGTTGTGTGGTTCTCATGTAGCCCAGGCTGGCACTGAACTCAATATGTAGCTGAGGATGACCTCAAATGTCTGATCCTCCTGCTCCACCTCCTCAGTGCTGGGGTTACAGATGTGCCTCACTATGCCCTGTTTATGGTGTATTGGGTATCAAACACAGGTCCTTGTGTATGCTAGGTAAGCACTCTACCAACTGAACTAAACCTCTAAAGAATATTACTTGAGGGCTGATAAGATAGTAAAGGTGCTTGCCACCAAACCTGATGACCTAGGTTGGATCTCCAGGACCCATATTGCAGAAGGAGATAACAACTCCTTCAAATTGTCCTCTGACCTCCATACATATGCCACATGTTCATCATAGTACACACATACACACACACACACACACGTAAATTAAATTAAATTAAATTAAATTAGAATTGGCTCCTCCGTGGAAGGATCTGTGCAAAGAGCATTTTAGGGGAACTGTAAGGATAGAGGCATGTAGGTAGGAAGGTCTAGTATGTACAAGCCATGAAGGAATGAATAAAAAAGTACATGACTTCTTACATCCCAACAGATATACTCCACTTACAGGTACATTCACTGAGCTGGGGTGGCATAGATAGTTAGGGTAGCTCAAAGCAGACATGGTGGTACAGGCCTTTAATCCCTGTAGCCCCAGGTGGCCTGGAACTTGTTTTGTAGACCATGCTGGCTTCGAAATCATAGAGATCCACCTGCCTCTGCCTCCCAAGTGCTGGGACTAAAGGCTTGTGCCCCCACACCTGGCTTCCAAAAATAAATTTGGGGGGGGGTCTTTCTGAGACAGGGTCTCCCTGTAGCCCCAGTTGTCCTGAAACTCACTATGTAGACCAGTCTGGCCTTGAACTCACAGAGATCCACCTGCCTCTGCCTCCCAAGTGCTGGGACTAAAGGCCTAAGCCATTATGCCCAGCCTCAAAAAGAAATTTTTTTAAAAAAATATTTTTTTTATTGCTAAGGTCCATGAAATGCTGAGGTGCTGGGGTCTGGGAAGGGTATTTATAGTGTCCTATTTTATGGCAGCCGTGCATTCTCCATCCATGTGTGCTGGAGTGGACAGTGATCCTTATACCAAGTTTTTTTAGAAAAAAATTTTTTAATTTCATTGTGGCATGTTTACCAGGCATGGTGGCACATGCCTGTTGTCCCAGCACTTGGGAGGCAGAGGCAGGTGGATCTCTGTGAATTCAAGGCCAGCCTGGTCTACATAGTGAGTTCCAGGACAGCTGGGGCTATAGGGAGATCCTGCTTCAAAAAGGCCAAAAAAAAAAATTATTGCATTTACCTATTTGTGTGAAGGATATGTAAATATGCTGTAGTGTTTGCACACAAAATACTACAGCATACATGTGGAGATCAGAGGACAACTTTCTAGAGTTGTTCTAGCCTTCTATTATGTGGTCCTGGGAATTGGACTCAGTTTTGTCAGGTGTGGCTACAAGCACCTTTATCCACTGAGCCATCTCCGCAGCCCTCAAATGGTCTTTTAAAAATATCAACAATGGTAATAACTCTTATTAATTTTTGGGGGGCTGAAGAGATGGCTCAGTGGTTAAGAGTACTGGCTGTTCTTGCAGAGGACTCAGATTTGGTTCCCAGCACCCACGTGGCAGCTAACAACCATCCTAACTCCAGTTCCAGGGTATCTGATGCCCTCTTCTGACCTTTATGGGCATTTCATGACACAGGTGCATTTACATACTTGCAGGCAATACACTCATACATATAAAATAAAACTAATAACGCTGGGCGTGGTGGCGCATGCCTTTAATCCCAGCACTTGGGAGGCAGAGGCAGGTGGATCCCTGTGAGTTCAAGGCCAGCCTGGTCTACATAGTGAGTTCCAGGACAGATGGGGCTGCAGGAAGACCCTGTCTCAAAAATACCAAAATAATAATAATAATAATAATAATAATAATAATAATAAATATTTTTAAGCTGGGCGCGGTGGCACATGCTTCTGTGCCCTGGGCAAGGTGCGTTGAGTAACACTCAAGTGAAAAGATTTGGGTGAAGGTTTCAAAAGTTGTTCTGTTTTTAAGCAAGTCCTCATGTAGCTCATGCCTGCCTTGAACTGATCTTCCTGTCTCCACCTCTCAAGTGCTTTGGGGTTTTTTATTCCTTTTTTTTATTTTTAGTTTTTGAGACAGGGAGACCCTGTCAAAAAAATTAAAAGTAGGGGGCTGGAGAGATGGTTCAGTGATTAAAATCACTGGCTGTTCTTGCAGAAGACCCAGGTTTGAATCCCAGCACCCACATCGCAGTTAATGACTATCCCTAACTTCAGTTCCAGGGGATCTGACACTTTCTTTTGTCCTTCTCAGGGATTACACAATACAGGTGCACTTACATCATACATGCAGGCAATACAGGCATACACGTAAAACAAAATTTAAATAAAAAAAAAAACGAACAAGAAAACAGGGCTGGAGAGATGCTCAGAGATTAAGAGCACTGGTTGTTCTTGCAGAGGACCCGGGTTTCATTCCCAGCACACACATGGGGACTAACAACTGTCCGTGACTCCAGTTCCAGGGGATCCATCACCCTCTTCTGACCTCTAAGAGCATTGCACTGCACAGGTGCACTTATACACATGCAGGCAGTATACTCATACACATAAAATAAAAATAATAAGAAGATATTTTTAAAAATAAAACAAACAAGATCTTTTGAAGAGACTCCAGTGAAGGAGGAAAAAGGATGCTGTAGGGCTGGTGAGACCTTAATGCCCAAGTGTGAAGACCCAAATTCCAACCCCCAACACCAATACTACCCAGATGTCAGCTGGGCTTGGGGGCCCACCTGTAGTCCCAGTGCTGTGGGTGGTGTGGAGATGGGCAAGCCGGCTAGCTAGACCAGTCATCCTGGGGAGTTCTGGGTTCAGATTGAGACTCTGCCTCAGTACATAAAGTAGAGAACAATTGAGGAAGGCACCCAACATCAGCCTCTAGTCTATGTGCACATACATACACACACAGGTGCCCACACACATGTGAACATGCATTTACACCACACCCATACGCATGCAAAATATAAATTAAAATTAAAAAGTATGTTCTAATTCTTTCTATGATCTCAAGAAAGCCTAGCTTCAAATTTTCAATTTTGCTTTTTATGACCTTGGCAAATAACCTTGCCAAGTATATCCTGTCTCCTAGAGAATTCTGTGATTAGATGCAGGTTTCTAGTACATTAAGGTCATGCTTGGCACTTTGCATGTGCTCAATAAGTAGTAAACCAGGGGCCAGAAATGGCTCAGCAGATAGGTATGCTTGCCACCAAGTCTGACAACCGGAGTTGATCCCCACCTCATAAAAGGAAAGAACCAACTTCTGAAAGTTGTTTTCCCAACCTCCACATGCACCTTGTGGCAGGCACTGGCTCTTACGCACACACATGCACACTGACTTACACAAAATCCATGTTAAAAAGTGTTGAAGTAGTAACTTCTAAGAACAGGCGTTAGTGATAGATATGCCACAGCACAAATGATAGTCAGTGGATTGTCCACCCCCCGTGTGCAAAGGACAGACCCACAGGCAGGGTAGGTCAAAGGGTAGTCTTGCCCTCGGGAGCCACAGTGACCAAAAATCCAGACCAGATTTTCTGTCGTGTCAGGTTAGCGGGAATCAGTCTTTTGCTTTGACCCCTGTACTAGCCGCAATAGACCAAGCAAATTCAAGACCCGGATTTTCCAGCCATGGTTCCAGCCAGGGTTCCAGACCTTTGTACCTGGACCTGGGAAGGTAAACCTTCAAAAAATCTAAATACCGCCAGAAGAAGACCTGGGAAAGAGCCTCATCTGAACTCCCTTAAACAATCTAGTATAAAAAAAAGGAACAAGCTGGAGCCTCGGGTTTAGATCCTTGGCGTTAGAGTAAAACAGCCGCCACCTCCCACCCCAGCTACAGAGCGAAGGTGCTGTGGTCAGGACACTTAACAACCAAGTTCTTCTATATACAATCCCAGCTACACACAGGCGACCCTCTGGCGCTAAAGGGGTGATGGAACACTTGCTAAGGGGTTGCACCAGTGCGCGTGAGCAGACCCAGGCACTGAAGCAGTTAACTGGTTAGGAAGAGCAGGGATTGCATGGCTCAGCGCGAGGCCGCAAGGCCGGAGTAGGGTGGGTGTGTAGCAATATACAGGGTTGGGGGCGGAGTTTTGCGGCAGAGCCAGAAGTCCCGCGTGGCATTGAACCAATGGGAATCAGCGCCCGCTCGGAGGGCGGGGTTACACTGCGTTCGGGCCCCGCCCCTCCCACCCTTTTCGTAAGGACTCGA